TTTTAGTTCCAAGGAATTTACAAGACTTGACTCGTAAGAGATGATGATGAAAACATCGTTTTGAATGGTATGTTCACAATTCAATCAAGTAAAAGGGCTGGTGAATACCTGGTTTTGGTTCTTCTTCACTATCCAGTGCAGCTGGTTTCTCGACTAATTAAATGACTTCACATTCATCACCCAAACGACCCTCATTTTCCTCAGGCACAACAGAAGTTGTCGCGTTAAGAAAATCGCGATTATTATGTTTGATTCTGTTCATGATAGCAATAGATTTACCAACTGCAGCAAGCTCCACATGACCTGGTTGAGATAAATAAGCATAAAACACAGATAGAGACACTGAACTTTTTTAAGAAAATTTTCAAAACCTACCTATATGGCTGATGAATGCAGTATTAACAACAGAGGCAATGGGGTCTGCAGGTAGAGCCAGGGCAGCAGGTAACGCGATTCGAGCTATCTCAAACAATTCCATAGATTCGGAGTAGGCTATTCTTTTTGGAAGCTCGTCCGTCAACCATTTCTAGTTTTCTTTTAAATATATCCTTAATTTTATGTTTTCAAGTTTTTGTAAGTTTTTCCAAGCAAAAATGAAGCCATTACCTCAACTGTCATCCTGAACAAATCGACCAAGGATACAAATGTAGCCTTGCAAAACAAAAACGGTCAGAAAAAAAAAAAAAAAAAAAAAAAAAAAAAAAAAAAAAAAAAAAAAAGAAAAAAGAAAAAAGAAAATATCACTGTGTTCCAATCACCAAAAATCGCCACAAGAACACTCCCCATTCTCAAACCTATGAAACCGAGTATTGTCCCTCACCGTTATAACCCTCCCCGTGCATTTGGACATAAACTTTATCGCGACATGACAGTCGCCACAAACACGCAAGTTCTTCATAACCCTAATCGGCCTCCCAGCCGGAAAAGTGATCAAGGCGAACGCGATCGCCAGTCGCTCACTGTGAAACTTAATCACCTGCCTTTTTTCCTCGTTGTCAATTTCTTTCGACACGTAACTCATATCCACAACATAACCAGCCTTCTCCATATCCTCTCCTAATTCCTGCAGCTTTCTATAAATCTCGTCACTCATTTCGTGCTTTCTATCACCGGCGGAAAACGTGTGGACCCTATTATTCTCCTCGACCCAGCTCAAGCCCGTTTCCTTTTTCTGCCCACGGTCCTTGAGCATTTTTCTCACCTTAGCCGCTTCTTGGTACCTCCCGGCAGCCGCATAAGCATTGGACAGCAGCACGTGAAGGCCCGGGCTCACAGGCCCGGATTCAAAGACCCGATCGGCCACCGAGCCTGCCAGTTCTGTATTTTTATGAATTTGGCATCCGGTCAGTAAAGCTCCCCATGTGGACTCTGTTGGCTGCATCGGCATCTCATTGATTACTTTTAGGGCTTCATCCAATTTGCCAGCTCGCGCAAGAAGGTCAACCATTGAACCATAGTGTTGACTTCCGGGCTCTATGCTGAAATCCTTCATCATAGCAAAATATCGTTTCCCTTCACTCACCCGGCCCGCATGGCTGCACGCGTAGAGCATACAGAGGAACGTGATGAAATTCGGCCTCATGCCCGCTTTCTGCATTTTTTTGAAAAGTTCAAACACTTTCTCTGTGTGTGCGTGCTGAGCGCAAGCAATCAACATGGAATTCCACAAGCCCAGATTCTTATCTGAAACCTCGTCAAACACTATATAAGAGCACTCAATCATGCCGCTTTTCGAGTACATGGAGACCAAAGAACTCCCCACAAAGCTGGTTCGGTCGTAGTTTGTTTTCAGGCATAAAGCATGCAGCTGTTTGCCCAGCTCAAAAAGAGTCGAGTTCCCACAGACCCCAATCACGCTCGAGTACGTAAAATCGTTCACGTCCAAACCTTCAGAAAACGCATCTTTAAAGAGCCTCAGGGCCTCCTCGTCCTCCCCCATCTGCGCATACCCATATATCATCCCACTCCAAGACACTACGTTTTTGTCGGGCATTGTATCGAACATGTTCCGGGCATCACCCAACATCCCACATTTCGCGTACATATCGACAACAGAGCTCCCCACGTACACGCTCTCGCCGAATCCAATCTTCAACGACAAACAGTACACAGACTGACCCAGGCGATGATCGTCGATCATCGCGCACGATTTGATCACGCAGGGCAAAATGTAGTCGTCCGGGAACATACCTGTGTTCTTCCGCATCAGCTTGAAATACCCGAGCCCGTGGAATGGGAGTTCGTTCTGGGAGAAGCACGAAATAATGGAGCTCCAGGTGGTGGGCGTCTTGAAGGGGGTCTCGTGGAAGATTCGCTCTGACGAGTGCGGGTGCTGGAGCTTGGAGTAGAAGTTAATAAGATGGTTGCAGACGAGAGCTATTGTGGCGAAGCCCGATTTAACGACGTGGGCGTGGAGGGATTGTCCTCTGAGGAGATTTCTCAAGCGCGTGAAGCCGGCCAAGTGGTCGCAGATGAGGTTGCAGCTCGACTCGAAGCTCGGTTGATTGAGGGCGTTTTGGGGGTATATTGGGGAGACGTTGAGGGGGTTTGGAGGCGGCGGCGACGGTGACGGCGAACCCAGGGAGGGCTCTTTCAGCAGACCTTGAAGCATCGACGGCGCTTTTGCAGAGGGGTCGTCAGACGGCGGCGAGGCGGGAAAGCATGACGGCAGCAGAAAAAAGATCAACGCTAGCGGGGTTTTGTATTTTAAACGAGGAATATTTGTTAAATGGTCCCCGAGTTTATTTGTTTTTTGGTTGGTACCCACAGTTAATCAAACCGTCCAATTCTTCATCAATAATTAACGACACCCCGGAAAGAAGTCATTAAAATCATTAAATAAATGAAAATATGGCTACAAAAAATGCATAAATTATGAAAAAAAATAAAAATAAAAATAAATGCAAGCATTGGAACACGAATTACGCAAATATGTCGACATTTTAAATTGAGAAAAGCCTATTTTAGCAGTTAAAAAGATAACAAAACAAAATATCATCGATCAAATTTGAACAATTAAGATGGTAAGAATAAATAATTGAAGTTTCAAATTCGCATTTCCACGTGTCTACAAATCTAGAAAACTTATGGTGATTGGATTATGTGACTGATGACCGTGAGGAACTATTAGACTTCGTAAGA